AAGGTCCCACCATAGCCTGTTGTATATGGTGAAGAACAGTCATTAATTTTGATCGGGTAGAGTAGTAACATCCAATGTTTATAATCGAGAGTACATTTCTTTTGTCCATCAATAAAAGCATGTGGCTGCTTTCAGTGTAATGCTATAGCCTTACACATTGCCAGCAAAACAGTACTGATGTAATTAGCCAATCAAGAGCCTTATTCGCCTCTATTCACACTCATCACATCTTTGGTTTCGGGACAGGCCGTATACAAGTCGTCGCAGTCACAAGAAATAATTTGTCAGTAGTGGGACGCATGATATGAAAAACCTCCTGTGTCGTTTTAGTAATGTCTTGGACTCCTTTAAAAACCTTGATGACCCTGAGTTTTTGAGCTAAAGTAGCCAACCCTTACAAAATTTTGTGTATAATGTCTAATAATTTGCAATAAGGAAGTTGTGATAAGGCAGACTCACCAGGAGGGCATTGACAGCGATAGCCCATTGGCGACATATCAGGCTGGCAGGTCGCTCCATTCAGGCACCGATTGTATACACAACCGAATGATCCCGAGGTCTTTACATCAATTGTCTGAGAAGACATTGGAGCTTCGCAATACTCACCTAAAAAGAAAACGAACGTATTACCTGCAACGGTCAGATTTTTGCATGTAAAATATTTGTCGCTCTTTAGATTAAACGCTGATCGTTTTCCTTAAAGGCATTAAGGACTAATTTTCATTTTTAAATAATCAGTAGTGTTGCAAAAGTGCTTTATAAAGGCACAGTAGATTTTTTAATAAAGATATCCTCTAACAACAGTTTCTCACCTGTAAAGCCATACGGGCAGTCGCAAGCGTAATCACCAACTTGGTCGATGCATACGCCACCATTCTGACACTTATTGTACTCACAATCATCTAAATTCTTCGAGCAGTCGTTCCCACCCCACCCCTCAGGACATATACACCTTTGGAAGAATCAGACACACATGAAGGGCCAACTTACTTGAAGCCAGTTGGTTTTTCCGACACACAGACTCCATCGTTTTGACAGGGATTTTCATCAACACAATACCGGATCTTGTGTTCGCAATGCTTGCCTAAGGAAGCATGAAAAACAACTTTAAGATAGGACTCAACCTATTCAGGATTGAAGACAATCCATGCTTTTACCACGATGTCAATTTATGGCTGTGAGGGAGAGCTCCACCTGTAAGTTGTCCAAGAATTAAAAATACAAATTGTAATACCATTTGCCAGGTGCATTATGCACCAAATTTTTCATGGGAAGAGGAAGGCATCTTTCTAAATTTGAGATCTACATGCATCCCTAAGTGACTAGGTTAAGTGGATCTGTAATTTCACTCCAGCTCTCTAGCCACAATTGGAAGGCAAGCATTTTAATTGCGACAATGAGTATTGGTAATCTCCTGTAACTCCATAACTTGTCACCTCGAAATCCGGAAGCGCATTCGCAAGTATAGCTGTTGACACCGTCGACACAAACACCGCCATTTTCACATTCAACATTTTTGCAGTCATCCACGTTTTCTTCGCAATCCAAACCCGTAAATCCTGCTGCGCATTCACATCTGTGTGCAAAGAGGAGGTAGCATTTAAGAAATTGTGTTTGCTATTTATCAGCATTCGTGAAAATATTCGCCTACTTAAATGCTGTCAATAAACCATTGCGCCGTAGCAGAAATATTAGCATCATAAGGATAGTTTGGACATTCGTCATGCACAAAGCATGAGAAAAGTGTTCTTAAGAAGCACCGATGGAACAAAAAAGGGGCCACTTAGTAATGAGTTACTGAGCGACTTTTTGTTGCAATGGCCGTCGGTAAGAGAAAATGAATACAGCAAGTACCTGTAGTGACCAAGATCATCAGTCACTTCACAAGTGCCGCCATTTTTGCACGGTTTCTCGAAACAGGCATCCACTTTCTTCTCACACCGATCTCCATAAAACGGCATCTCACAGGTACACTTGAATTCCACTCCGCTAATTGCTTCGCATCTACCTCCATTTAGGCAAGGATTGGTGACGCAGGGATTGCATTTGGCTATAATATCAGGTGCCTCCACAGAACATGAAAAATCCTTTAAATTTGAGTGAAATATTGACTTAAATTTCATGTGCTCGGGACTGGCACAAATCGAAACCCCATTGTCCAAATACTTGAGTCGAAAGAAGGCATGCAGCCAGCGCAAATTGCAGTCACAGTGGAGAGGATTTTGACCAATTGCCCTGGAATGCAACGAAGTACTGATGAATATAAGTTTTGTGGGGTTAAAGCGCAAAGTCGAAACTGTAATTGCTTACAAATTATTCATCTGCCCTAAATCCCGGAAAGTGCCGTTCATCAAGGTCGAGATGGCATTGTTTTGCAGTATTCTAGGTGGTGATGAGTGATAAAAGCCGCTTAATGAAAATGCATCAAGGAAACATTTTAAGCTCATTAACGGAATGGTTTCTCCTAAATCAAACCAAACTTCCGTGTGATTGGTATGAGGTCGAAAAAAAAAACACTCGAATAGTGTTTTAAAAAATGTCCCCATTCCTACTTTGGAGGGGATTTATGCTTAGCATTTTTAGCATTTAGAAAAAGACAACTCATTTGTGATGGAAGAAAGAGGCTTGCTTTCTGTGTAATCTAGCAAAACTCTCTAAAAAAAAGCTTACAAAACTCTGAGCTGTTTCAATCCACTGAAAGCATCAGGATGTATGCATCTTAATCCATTGCCACTCAAAACCCTAAAATGTGAAATCAGAAATTCACATTTCAAGCATAGCGGCAAACGCTTTCAATCATCATCTTTACGCACAGCGATTTGAGGTTGGACAAATCCTTAAAAGCGTTAGCTTTAACCTCAAGGATTTTGTTGTGACTGAGAAGCCTAAAATGGAAGCTCATATTGCCAAAGATGAACGCTTACAGTGTCTCCAGACTCTTCAGACGTCGAAGACGTTCAGAATCAATCGATCTTATCTCGTTATGCTCCAAGAATCTGGAAACCAATCCATTAAAGTAACAAAAAGAACATACAAATCCCGCGTTTCGGGTGGTAAGCCTTTGGGGATTTCTCGCAGGGCCTTTCCTGAACAATCAACTCGTTGGTTCTTGCACATGCATGAATCAGGACAGTGAGACTCTACCTCAATGTCTGAAATGTAAAGTAGAAAGTAAAACACTGACTTCAATGCCACTTTAAGTAGCGAGGCTGGTAGATACTGTGATTTTCTGAGTTGACTACCAGTTCTCTTGTAATTGCATCAATGCACGAGCCTTAGGCATACAGGACTGGGGTGATCTTCAAGAGAGCTATTTGTAAACGAAGAGGCACCTTCAGTGGAGCAGAAGTCTTTATCGTCGGGCGCTTTTGATGAGGTCTCATCGGAAGTGTAAAAATCTTCTTCAGCGAGACTGACCAGAGGGGACCCCTTGAGATGGGCAGGACTGTCACAGGCAGGAAGAGAGGGTGAAGCCATCACAATGGCTTGGTTGCGTCGCAGCCAATTGCTCAACCAGGACATATGAGGACCGCAATTGAATGGATTATCATCGAAACTCCTGCCATAAAAATTAATTAGGTTATTGCTACTAAACCTCTATTTGTATTCATTATGACTGTAAATAATCCAAAAACTCCTTTAAGTATTCGCACTTATAATTTTGGCATTTTGCGTCAATCTTGCTTCCCTGTCATCTTTCCTACGGACTCGCAATAGCACGGATGGAATTGGATAGCTGTCACTGTAGACAAAACCTTTACCTTTTTGCACTTTAAAATGATATTAAAGAGACAAACATTGATCGGAAGTTCGAAAGACTCAAAAGACAGTCGTATATTATGCATTAATTTTTTAAAGTGCTAAAACATCAATGCTACCTCCACTTCTAGTAAATTACTCACGAAGCTGATTTTACGAATAGAACATTTGTCGATTGTACGATTGGATGATAAAAAGTTGTAAGGCTGAAGGATGAACTTTTTCGTAATCGCAACTACATTCCACTTACACAAGTTGCAAAGATTTGAGATCAAACACCGAACTTCCGATGCATTGTATACGATTGGAATGGAGTTGCCTGAAGTTGCGTTTAATGAAATTTGGTTAACTTACAGTACTTTGAGCCTCAAAAGTGCTGCAAATGTTCCATTGCGGAGATATGAAAGTCGGTTATGGTGGAGTGATCTGAAAAGGAGGAGTAATCAAAGTGCATTTTACAAGCTTACAGAACCTCCAATTTCCTTAAGTGCGCAAAATTTTCGTGCGTCACCTCTTCTATTGAATTGTGATCCAAATATCTGAACGAAACGAAAATTCAAGTTTTACAGAGGAATTATTACGATGGTAACGTGTGTTTTCTCAGATTTCGTACAGTTCTTTTGTATCATCGGGGATTGAAGCCGGTACAGAAGTCAGATCAGCATTGGTGCAAGTGACCTTGAGACTTGGTTCCACGATCTCTGCAACGCCATGACGCAGAGCTGTGAAGGTGATTACGTCGTCAGTCGATCTTTGCACACGATTGGCGAGATGAGAGCATGTGCAGGCAGTGGGACAATCGTGAGCCGTATCCAAATCCTGTTGCGGGATAGATTGGTGCTGTAAATCTG